TAAACGAAAAATGTGACTGTTTCATGTGTCTGGGTGAGACACAACAAAAGGCTCAGTCAGTGTCACATGTTCCAAGGGCCATGTTCAACAGTACAGCCCAGGAGAGTCTGTTGTAGACCCGTGCCCTCCAGATGTAATTAATATCAGGAGTATTGTTGTATAATAGCATATCATAGAAAGAAAGGTGTGGATATGGAAGAGTGGATGCATGCAGATGTGTTTATACAAAGAAATCTGGATGCCTTTTATAGTCAGGCACACGTCTAGTTCATGAAGTTTAATAGCCCAGTGGTGTGCGGGATCCATTCTTTTCTTTAATCACTAACAAGAGCAAGGCAAATAGTAAACTAGTATCATCAAACTCAGTCAAGTAAAACTAATACAGCACATTTAAATCTTAACTATAAACGATAAATGGTCAGTTTGGAGCTTAGAGGAGCAATTCGGTGAGTGAAAGCTGTGCTTTGTGCCAAACTACTTTTTAAATACCGAATGGAATCTCTTTTCAAGAACAAATGGGACTTATGTGACTAGAGAATTTCCCCTAGCAGAGTCATGCGGGCAACAGCATTCTGTTCAGAGAGCTACCTCCTCCATTCTAGTGTAAAAAGAGGGCAAATCTCAAATCATATCTAAGGCACAAACAATTCCCAGATATCATTGTTATTTCAAGAAATGCACAATTCCAGAACGTGCCCTAAATATAACTATACACTCAAAACTCCCCATAAACAAAGAGGCATACAGCTCCTTTAGTGCTAGTAAAACGTAGCAAACACTAAAATTATTCCACAATAGCTACTCAAATCACTATTTTGCTATGTACATGGCAATATTGAGTAACTTAGTACAAAAACAATTCCTGGGTCAACAAAATTTATTGTAAACATATGCTCCTATATGGGAGTGTTTATATAATAGATTTCCTGAAATGTGACAGTTTGTAAATTGCTTTTGTCTTTATTTTCTTATTTGACAACTGTAAACTGTCAAGAATGTGTATGGTTGCCAAAAACTTTCATTTTCCCCTGGACCCAATCCAAGGTGGTGCTTTGCATCAGATGGAGGGCTCTCTGGTGCCAAGATTGGTGGCAAATGCCTTTTAATGTCACAATAATACTTTTACACCCAGATATATAAGAGCTTGGTTATTACTGGAGCACAACTGAAACCTTAAGGCGTAAACACCTTCAAGTCAACATGTAAACTGAATTAGCAGAGGCTTTATTGTTTTGAAATAACCCTTCATACCAAAGCATTCAGGTTTTGGTTATGCTATGACCAGGTAAACTCATTTTAAACAGTTCTGTGTTTTGAAATCAAGGATATGTGGAAAAAAATAATGTTAGCACTGGGTGTGATTTACTAAAGAGTAACGTTCACTCTTGGTGAAGCGAGTTTGTGTTCACTTCCAATATCCAATCATAATCAAGGAAACTTGAAAAAAAAATACAGACTGCTCTTGCACATGATTGGATTTTTTTAAGTGAAAACGGGTTAACATTACTACGAGCAAAAAGCATTTCATAAAGTAAACAAAAAAGCTAGAGTGATCATTTAGGACAATACACTGTTGTCATTTTAAAATCACAATACTTACTCACATAACATATGTACCAAATGTCAGATTAAATGTGGATTAAGGGGGTGGCACAACACAATTTACTATAAATAATTCAGTGCAGTAAGGCGTTACAGTTGTGAGTACAGTGTACATAAATTATAACAGGAAGTACTTCATTTTATGGCATAACCGAATTTGTTATTTTTGTATTTCCTTACTTCTGAATGATCTTTATACTGTGGTAGCAGATGCTGTTTTTCTTTGGGTAGGAATAAAACCTCAGAAAATGGGCATCAGGTATGTGGGACTTCATCTAAAAGCTAATTGGCCCTATCATGTGCCATGATTCTGGAAGACTGGATTAAAACAAATATGATATTTTTTAAAACGTAGTATTTATCAATTAAAAATGATAACGTATAAATGTTATTGTTCTATGTGAAATGCACGGCAGCTTAATGCAATGTCTCCTTGGAGGGCAGTTACAATGTTACCAACATACATTTCCTTTTTCAGTTAGTTTATTATTAGCTATTAATTATCCGGTTACATTAGTTTTCAGTCCATCATAGTGGGTCATACAATACTTTTGGCCCTACATTTATTGGCCATTTTATAGTATTTATACATTTCCCTGGACCGACTTCAAAGAAACACAGTTTGCAACAATAACTAATAACCTTTATTTATCATTATTTTTACAGTCCAAATTGTTATTAAAATGTAACCAAACATAATTGTTTTTGTATTGTGATAACACTGTGTGCCAAGAGAGGTAGTAAGATTACACCTCATCTGTTGCACAAATTATACCCATTATGTGCTTTTACTTTAAGCAACTAACAATGTATAATCTCAAATAACCGTACAGCTTGTATTCACTATTAATATACCTGATAGAATAACCAATTGCTGTACAGACTACATTTGCATAGGGTTTTGCTTACTGAAAACAGTCATGGATAATCATTGAGAGCAATGCTTGGCATTCATGTATCTGTAATGTGACACCTTATTTTGCTATAACGTTTTGAAAACAGTTGATCAATAAATTGTGTTTTAACGTTTCACTATACATCTGTCTGACAGTCAATCTGCATGTCTGTCTGTCCTTTTACCTATTTATGCTGGTAGTCAAACACGTGGCAGCTTCCGCCATATCACAACTAACAAGATCCCTTTTAATCCAGTTGCACTATACATACTTACATACTTTGTTCTGTGAATTAAATAATTGGAGCATTGCACGTTTATAAGAATACAAATTTGAACTGTATATAGCTTTATCGGGAATAATTCGGTATTCAGTGACTTACCTTATATGCTTTATCCATCACAATAATCTTATTTTTGTTTTTACATTTGTACATGTATTTTCCAAACATTCAGCTTGCTTTAATCAATTAGTGACTGACAAACTTTGCTCTTGAGACAAATCATGTTATTTCTCTGCAGTCTCCTCGCTTGATAAGTAGAGAACAAAGGCCAAGATTCTAGCATTGGCTTCTCCTGGCATAGCGGCTTTGACATTGATCTGGACAACGCCATCTTGTGGCCAATCTGCTTCCATGTCAATTGAACTATTTTCTCCTTTTTTTTTGCTGTTGTCATCTTAAAGAGATGCTAGTGTCCATTGAGGCAACTGTTGGAAAGCACTGATATCACGTTCACAAAAAAATGGCTGCATGGTGTTTAGTTTATAGCCCCGCATTCCAAATATG